GGGTTTGCCTTTCTCTGAGACATTGGTGGTTGGCTGCAGCCAAGACTGGGGATTTTGACTAGGGTGTACCAGTGCTTCTGCTGAGACTTAAAGCCAGAGGTTCCTGGCTAGAGGGTCTTGCCCCTATGCTCAGGGTCAGACCTTACCTGGGGTCAAGAAGGAATTTTACCCCATGGTCCAACTTATATGGATTCTGGGGGGGTTTACTTTCCTCTGTAGAGGCAGGCATGGTCTTCTTCCTTGGATCTCTCAAGCATATTTTAACCATCTTTGCAGCAGCAGGACATTAGCCACCAGTCCCCCTGTTTTACCTTTGGCAAGTTAGGGTGTTATGTTTTGTAGTTGTGTCAGAGATGACCATGTAATTTTGCTAACAGATTTGACAATGGATTTGCATAGGATGGTTTGGATAGAGTTGATCCTGCCTCAGGCAGGCAGTAGAACTAGTTGACCTCTGAGGATCCCTTCTAGCCCTACTTTTCTATGATTCTGTGATACTAAATTATTCCAGGTAGTCAGATCCCAAGCCGAGGGAGAAGAGTTGTGGAAAGATCTCACCAAGCTAAGCGATTGGGCAAAGAAAAAAAAAAAGGCAGGTGAATTTCAATGTCAATAAGTGTGAGGTAATGCACATGAGAGAAAATAACTAGAAAATATAAGCACACAGTGCTTGATTGTGAGTTAGCTATTGCAACTCAGAAAATAGACCTGGATTCACTGTAGAGAGTTCTCTTAAAAAAAAAAATCAACAATATGCAGTAGCAATCAAAAGAAAGTTAGGCATCAGAAAATATTGGAGAATTGAAAACAAAATTGAAAATATCATCATGCCACTATACAAATCCATGGTGAGCCCTGTAACAGGGGGACAAGACCCCTGTCACTTTAACAGGGGAGAGGAGCTAGCTGCTGCAGCAGAGGAGGGCAGGCTGCCCATCAGCACAATGGAAACCCCTGTGTGGCTGGGAAGCCATGTGACAGGAAGGGGTGAGGCTTTGGAGCACATAAGCCCTGTGCCTAAACCCAAATAGGTAGTTTAGCCCTGCATGTTGCAGGGAGAGGACCTCCTGAGACAGAAGGGCTGGTGGAGACAAATGGGCAGGAACCCAAGCCACCCAAGGGAGCTGGGATGAAAGGGCTGCAAGGGAGGTATGACTTGTGGGCAACATTAAGCCAGAATGGGGAAGACTTTTAGTTCATGGAGTGGCTTGTTTGAGTTTGTTATATTTTGAGCTTGATACCAGAGAACTGGGTTGCTACTACAAGGAAGGTGTGGAGGCCATGGAGGGGTGCCTGGTGGAGCACTCTGTGACAAGCAGCCTGGTCTGAGGTCAGGGACCCAGAGGGCTGAGGCAGCAAGAGCAGCCTAGCCTAGGGTCAGGGATCTGGAGGGCTGGCCCTGAGCATGAGACAGGGCCAGGTGCCCAGAGCGCACACATGCAAGATGGGGCTAGGGCCCAGAAGCCAAGGTCTGGGGCAGTGGACCCAAGTTGAGAGGCACAGCCAGGAGAGCCATAACTTAGTGCCCAAAGGGCAAGACTGAGGCCAGCCAAGTATAAAAGGCATCAGCTGGCTGGAGTGAACTAGGGCTTACTCTGAAGACCCTGGGGCAGCCTCCCTTAACACCATAATAGTTCCATCAAAGCATGGCAGGCATATGCCTGCTACAAGTTTGCATCTTGAATACTATGCTCAGCTCGTCTCCACATCTCAAAAAGGATTTAGAACTAGAAAAGGTACAGAGACAGGCAACCATGATGATCAGGGATATGAAGCAACTGCCATACCAGGAAGGATTAAAAAAGCTAGGACTCTTCAGTTTGGCAAGAAGGCTGAGGGGGGATATGACAGAGGTCTATAAAATCATGAAGGGTGTAGACAAAGTGATTAGAGAACCAAGTCCCAGAATACTAAAACTAGGGGGCACCCACTGTAATTCACTAGGAGACAGGTTTAAGCCTAACAAGAGAAAGTGTGTGTGTTATGCATCACATAGTTAACTTGTGAAACTCATTACCATAGGATGCTGTAGAGGCAGGTAGTACAGCCAAGTTCAAAAATAGACCAGACAAAACTTAGGGATAGTCAGGCCATTCATAGGTATTAAACAGAGCAGTCAGGGATGTATCCTCTGGCACCTCTAAACCAAAGATGGTGGATTCCAGGCAGAGTACAACAGGGGTCTAGATCAGGGGTGCTCAACCTCTGGCCTGCAGGCCATATATGGCCCAAAGAGTTCTCATTTAGCCCATGGAGCTCCCCACAGGTCAGGAAAATTGGCAGGGGTAGAATGGTGGCCATTAATACGGCCATCCTCTCCCCTGCCAAATCCCCAAACTCCAGTCCCTGTGTGGTCAGTCAGAGCCAAGCTGTGCCCCCCTCCCCTCCCCTCCCTCCCACTTCTGGATTGGGGCCTTGCCAAGCCCCCTTCCACCCCTGCAGGGCCTAGTTAC